ATATATTAACAAGTGCTGTGCATTAAGGTAAAACTACCTTTTATTTCTGTCCTGCAACTTTTTTCAAGGTTATGTTTTCAATATTATAAACATATGTGCAGTTACAAATGGATGAATATTGTAATTCTGTATTACGGTGATTACAAGGCAAATAATAATTGCTAATTTGTACAACAAATTTTATTTGAAAAGGCTAAAGACAAAAACAGCAACAAGAAAGAAAGCTCTTCACCTAAACCGACTTTAACAAAATGCAGTTCTGCATTTGACCACTAGATGTCTCACTTCTACAAGACTTTATGAAGGCAGATGAAGGTTGGCAGATGAGGAGGTGGATGAGGCTGCGCTGCTTTTCTACAGGCTCTATTATTATGCAGTCAGTCAGACAAGGTAACGGGCTGATCAGAGACCGAGGCTTATCAGCAGGGATCCTTCTCTCCCCCCTGCTCCTTTCTCTCCTCCAGCTCCGCTCGGAGGGGACAGGTGATCTGACCGTCTGTCGGCCTCCAGTGGCGGATGTTCTCAGACAGGCTCCATCAGCCCACCGCGGTGAGCCTGGAAGGATAAACGCAGCATGGCGCTGGAAGCGGAGGGGAACAAGCTGCGGCTGGAAGACGTGCTCGCGCGACCTGGCAACGAAATGTGCGCTGATTGCGGTAATCCAGGTAGGACACTGGGGATGCCAGTGGATGCAGGAGGGACTCATTTCTATCTGCAGAAGGAGGAACAAATAAAACGGCCAAAGAGTCTCATTTTCGATTTTATTCGTTGTGATTATTTATTATAGCTAGAATGAAGACCATGAGGTCTAACAGGATGAACTCTGGACTCCAGTCTCGACAATAAATCCATAAAGCTGGTATCTTGTGTGTGTGTGTGTGTGTGCGGCCATGTTTTTGATACCTTCTGGGGACAAATTCCCAGGAATATGCTACATTTTGGGCACTTCTAAGTACTTGTGAGGAAAGGTTCTCTTTTTGGGTTAGGGTTTGGTTAAGGACTATGGTATGAATTGAGTTAACGTTAAATTTAGCGTAAGGGTTTGGTTAGGCCATAGGAAATTTGGTGAAATGAATGGAAGTCAATGGAAAGTCCCCAAAAGTATGGTGTGACACGACGTGTGTTTGTGTGTGTGCTCTCATTGTTGTGCTGAAGTGTGGTCCATGTGCGGTCTGTTATTATACTCAATCAGCACCCTCAGCTTCTACCCTAATGACGTATTGTGTAGGCTACTCTAAAACATTGGCTAATCATTTTAACAAAATATATTTTTATAGGGTTTTTCAAATTGAATATGGCGGCCAACTGATTTAGCATGATTTCCTTTTATTAATCGCCCCCTCCCTTTATTCCCCACTTATTTTTTCTCACCATTTTGGCAGTTACCCAGTAAGTGGCTCCGCTGCGGGCTGAACGCCCAGTGCCCGAAGCAGAGCCCTCCCATGGTGCCCGGAGCAGAGCCCTCCCATGGTGCCTGGGCTTTGCCCTGCTTACAGCTTCTCTGGCTCTAGCGGAGCACATCTCTGAGGCCAGTGGTGCTCAGGCAGAATTGAATAGCTTTTTAGAGCATCTTTCCCTTGAATATCTATGTGGACTCTATTGTAAGCACAAATATTAAAACATGTTGGGTTTATGACTATCAGTTCATCATAATGTAGAACAGACACTTGCTCCATCCATCCATCCATCCATCCATCCATCCATCCATCCATCCATCCATCCATCCATCCATCCATCCATCCATCCATCCAACTACAGTA